CGCGCTATCGGTATACACCGGCGGGGCACCAGTGGAGGATGATAGGTGAGGACGAAGCAGGTCAGATAGCACATCGTGACGAATTCAACAAGAATTGTTCACAATGGTTTCCAGGGGAAACACGTGGAGGTCGGCCTAATAGTGCATATTGCTAGCAATGGGGTTGTTAAAATCCATATCTAACAATCCCTTTCCCCCAAATGAAATCGATGTTGATAATTGAATACTATCGAACACTACTGTTGGCCGTTTTTAGGGTTCCGTATTAAAAAAGGACGAACAAGGAACCCTTATTCGTCCGGCTATAAACACAGCGTTGCGACTATATTACAACAACTATAGATATACGATTTGAAATGTAAAATACTTTTATACCCACCACTATTGTAGAATGGATAAATAATTAAAAGATAAAAATCTACTTTTACTAGTTTCTAAAATTTGACTTAAAATATATAATAAAATAAAATACAAAGTGACAACCACGCTATTGTGGGAGGAAAGGGATTGTTAGTAATGAAGACTGAGAATCCCATTGCTAGCAATATACTCAACCAGGTCGACCACTTCGCGATTCCCTCTGGAAACTATAATGGTTAATTCCTGATGAATTCATCATGATGGGCTAACTGGCCTGTTTTCATTCTCATCTATCACCCTTCACTGGTGCTCTGCCAGCGTATCCCGTTAGCGCAGGCGGGGTTACCATACCATTTTCACTCATCAAAAAGAAAAACCACGCTATTGTCATCAATCCTGATAGATCATCAGCTGGAGAGCATATACGTAGATTTAACGCACCTGTTGTTAACGACGTTGCTAGAATCATGGTTGGTGACCGTGGAGCTACGCGACAAATTGTGATTCGAACAATAAATGATACTCGTAATCTTCAGTTCATAGCTGATACCGACCGTTTATATGTCGATCTCCGATGTTCGCTAATTTTATAGAAAAAAGCTAACAGGGGAAAAATATACACACCGGGTCAGCTAGCTACTTTAATTAACTTTAATACACCAGAGGGAGACTTTGTACAAAAGTCGATTGCTTGGGTACCTCTGTCCCATTCGTGTTTCAACCGTGAAGCAGTTGTGTTTGCATAACTGTGTTTCGGTTTGAAGGGTGGGATATGGCGTGAATTTACAGGGTACAGAGGAATAACACCTGAGTCCTCAGGAATGGCAACGCATGGGGGGTATCATGGGCGAAACAGTATAATCTATTATGTCCATGGTACTGCTCATGTCTATAGGCGACGGTTACCACTTTCCATCAGGTGGGCCGTCAGCTTGTTTGCCATTCTAAGTTGTATAAAAAAAAAATTGCCTACAACGCTTGATTTCTCTTTCAATTAAAATTACATCCTTACGCACTTCCAGTGTTAGCTATTTTTTTTTATTGAACTATATAAATATTTTCTACAAATAATGTAGGTATATGGTAAAACAACGTTTGCCGGGTCAGCTAGTATATAGGTATATCAAAAATACCCCTCCCTACCACTTCCCTGCCCCTTTACTCCAAAAGCAAACACGAACTGTGGATCTTTGGAAAATTTATTAGTTTGACAGAAGGCGAGTACTATTTTTAAGACTTGTAAACTATACAAATTATATAGTGTTGTAAATCGTCGAATATATAAATGAATTATTAGAAAAAAAATATATATTTAGAGAGAATTGTATACTTCATATTAGATCAAAGAAGAAGACAAAAGGTAATGTCGAACAGTAATTTTAAAATTATGTCTAAGTCTATATATCAAAATATTTCCAGGCATTATCAATATATAGTTATTATATACTGTTAATATATACTTTCCCGTTGACGTCGTAAGAGGTAACTAAGGGAATTGAATTCTCGAAAGATGAACAGCAGTGTCCCTCTTAAAACATCACCAAAGCTTACGGTTGCCGAACCGTAAGCCAAGCGTGCCAACTACTGGCAGAATTCCCCCAGGGAAAGCCAGCTATGGGGGAGGTGTATGTTCAGTAATGGACAGCAGTTAATCGCTGATACGTAGTTATGATGATAAGGATGATATATATCATCATCATCATAAAATAAAATATAATAAAATAAAATAGGAAAATAATAATAATTAATACAGTCTCGCACATCGAAGCTTCTATACAAGTTACACTTAATTTAAAAAAAATATTTACAAAATAATATTTCCCGAGAAAAATTATCTTGTACCGACTGGTGGATGGACAACAAAATCCTGTAAGGGCTCCGATTTTCCCTTTGAGATATGGAACCCTAAAAAAGATCCATAAAACTAGATGTGTATCTACCATAAAAATGTCAAACAAACATTTTTTGCCGGTTCAGATTCCCTCTGTATAATCTCGGAGGTATAAAACGACTGTTTAATTAAACTCCTCTCTTTGTGTCACACTATCTTCATATTAAGTTTTTATTTAATCTCTATTTGTTTAGGAGTATTTTGTTATCATATACCCTGACAATGTAACAACTAACACGACCTCCGTGCTGCAGTGCTCTTAAAGAAAGGATAACTTTACCAGAAGGAGATTTTGTACAAAAATCGTTTCCTTGGGCACCTCTGTCCCATTCGTGTTTCTACTGTGAAGCAGTTGTGTTTGCACGGCTGTGTTTCGGTTTGAAGGGTGGGATATGGCGTGAATTTACAGGGTACAGAGTCATAACACCTGAGTCCGCAGGAATGGCAACGCATGGGGGGTATCATGGGCGAAACAGTATACTCTGTTATGTCCATGGTACTGCTCATGTCTATAGGCGACGGTTACCACTTTCCATCAGGTGGGCCGTCAGCTTGTTTGCCATTCTAAGTTGTATAAAAAAAAAACTTGTATTAAGAATTTTGGGAGACAGACGTGACATATATGTATGCATGTATTAAGAATTTTTGTATGAAATATACCTTACACATTAATATTCTTAGAAAAAAATCAAGCAGTGCAAATAGGTAAATAGACATTTTATCACGCACGACTGATTATGTAAATACATAGGTGATAAAAACATACTTCAGAACGTACCTAGTAAGTGTTCTTAGTTGTAGATAGATAGATAGATAGATACTCTTTATTGTTTCCTCCAAAAGATTACAATAGTAAATTTATTATAAATATAAATAATTACAAGAAATAATTCTAATTCCTATTCAAAAATTAAAAAAAAAAGATATAATCGAATTGAGATGTTTCTTTTTTCGAAATCGGTTCAAAATTAGTAATATAAACACAGTTCGTAATTTTTTTTGTAAATTAAAATTCTTGTTGTTAATCAGATTGAAAAACAGGCTTTCTTTTTATATATTATATTTAATTTTTTATATAATATATAAAAATTTTTATATATTATATTTATATTTTAATTTCACGTCAATTTCATCTAGTTTTAAGTAACTTAAGATTTTTTTATTTAGGTGCAAAACCCATAAATTTTTGTTAATAAAACTTTTTACTGGTCTTTAAAAAAATCCATTCCACTACCAATTTTTGGGATAAAATTGAGGACGTCACTGTACAATTATATTGGTATAGATTTTATACAATCTGCATTCGGAAGTCTTGCACATTTTTTCTTTAATAAACATGTGTGTCGAAAAATGACGAAAAATTCAATCTTACATCCTAGGTAGCAATTATTCGTCAAACTGACGTCAATTTTCAGTCACCGACTCGAAAATGATTTAAAACTGACGTCTTATTTGAGTCGCAGACATCACCATGCTATCTGGGATAGATACTTATATATACAAAATATTTGTTTGTAACATTGTAACTCAAAAACTACTCAACCGACTTTAAAAATTATTTCACCTATAGAAAGATAAATTATCAGCGAGTAACATGCTCTATATATTATTTTTCGAAAATTCTATCGACCTGTATAAAGCCGGACTGGATCGCTAGTATATAAAACAGCCCGATTGTCAGCGACTGACTCTATCGGATCAACCTCCATGCAGTTTCCTTTGGTAACCATCGCGGTTATACATATTGGATTTGCCATAATGGGTTATCTGACCTGCGTTCATCTTCACCTATTATCCCTTACTGGTATTCCGCCAGCGTATACCAAAAGGACAAGAGGGGTTACCGTACTATTTTCATACATATATACATATCTGTCACGCCTATCTCCCATTAGGGTAGGCAGAAACAACGGAACGCCAAATGCTTCGATTCAAACAAGCCTCTTTTGCTTCTTCCACGTTCATCTAACTTTTCATACACGCTTACCAGTTACGGATATTTTTAATTTGACCCTTCTTCAGCATGTAGCCTATTTGGTTCATTTATTCTCAAATAAAAAAAAGTTGGTTTGGGAAAAATATTCAGTGGTATCGGTAAATCATCCTCTGAAAAGGATGTTAATGATTTTGAATGAAATTATTACGTTTCAACCTTACATTATATGGATAGAGCATCGAGCCTCAAAAACGGGTCAACTTTTTGTCAGCTAATTGTCAAAATAGCTGACTCGTTTTTTATCAGTGTTCTATATACTTACGCACATAATGTATCTTGACGTATTATTTAATAAATAAAATTAATATTTACGTATTAAAAAGGTGCAGTATTTATGAGACAAAATAAATATAGGACTTATAAACGAATCACTCATAACTATTTATCATACAAAATTGTATGAAAAAGTTGTCGCGCTTTTCTTGAAGTATTTGTATAGAGAGGCTCTATCTATATATTTATATTATTTTATATATATATATTTGTTTTGCATAATTGTTTAAAAAATATTTCTTTTGACGGATAGGGAAGGTAATGTGTAAACTAGGCACCTAGAGAATTTAGAAGAGAGTAGAATAGAAAAAAAATAATGGCCACAAAACAATTTTACACGACAAGTAAGTACATAATTACAATTTCAGAAGACATATGTCCAATTTGGTGAATTCAATTATGTTAAATATATTTTAAGTACTTACTTTTTTTTTTAATATAAAAAAATAAGGAAATTAATAAAAATACATAACTACTCACCTTAGCCTTTTTGCTTCATCGATGAACGGTCTTTTCTCCATCTCAGTCAGCAACTTCCATTCAGCTCCCAGCCTTTTCGATATCTCCGAATTGTGCATTTTGGGGTTGTCCTGCGCCATTTTCCGCCTCTGACCTCGAGACCATACCATGAACGCGTTCATTGGCCTCTTGATATGCTCATTTGTCTGTTTCCCGAGCGACATCGTTGGATAATATATTTATTTTCAAATTTAGAATTCGAAATTTAAATATATTTATTTTTTATAACCACCAGTGTTCTTTCGGACATTTTACATCGTCTCTTTTTAAACTTAAATACTAAATTGATTGTTTCATTACTTATTTGTATATTTTATACAATTAATTACTTTAGTAATAAAATAATTATTCGAACATAAAACTACAATAACCGGTCGCTATGATATAATTAAAACAATATCGTCATCTGTAAGTTCCCGCGCGTGAAAAGCTCCCGAAAGCTCAATGCGGCGCTTTTCTTGGTTGTGACATGTTTAGCGGATAGCTCTCGGCTCTGTTCCCCCCCGTCGTGTTTCCCCCCTCTAAAACGGCCGGCCAATCGCGGGCCGCCGTGGGCGTATGCGGGCCGCAGATTGGCCGGCGATATTTTTGTCTCCCGCGCCTTCAACAGGTAGCCAGCGCGTTCTTGTTTGCATGTCCATTAGCAAGATTAAATTTATATTTTTAACCGCGTATCTCTGTAAAAAAGAACGCGCTTCTCAGTAATCGAATGGAGATTCAATTCGCGCGGGTTCGTGGCTCGTGTAATCATTGCTTAATGGCGAAGGTGTTTCGAGTGATTTCTCTCCTTTTTTTTTATACAACTTAGAATGGCAAACAAGCTGACGGCCCACCTGATGGAAAGTGGTAACCGTCGCCTATAGACATGAACAGTACCATGGACATAACAGAGTATACTGTTTCGCCCATGATACCCCCATGCGTTGCCATTCCTGAGGACTCAGGTGTTATTCCTCTGTACCCAGTAAATTTACGCCATATCCCACCCTTCAAACCGAAATACATCCAATATGACAAGTTTAATACGAATATAATCCAAAAGATTCATTACTAATCAACCATAATTAATTTTCTTTTATTGGGGGGAGAGGGATTGTTAGTAATGGACACTGAGAATCCCATTGCTAGCAATATACCCAACCAGGTCGACCTCTTCGCGGTTCCCCCTGGAAACTATCATGGTTAATTCCTGATGAATTCATCATGATGTGCTAACTGGCCTGTTTTCATTCTCATCGATCACCCTTCACTGGTGCTCCGCCAGTGTATCCCGTTAGCGCAGGCGGGGTTACCATTCCATTTTCACCCATCAAAAAAAAACATAATTAATTTTATATTGATATAATTGGAATAAATGTGAGATTAAAATGTAGTATTTTGATTAAATTTAATTCAATTATTAATTAATTTGTCTTATTACAAATCCTAATTACCCATCATTAATAAAAGTTAGGGTTGACAACGCGCAAGTGACAACCCAAATTTTGTTGGTGTTTATATTCTGTAGTAAGAGCTTACTATCAGGCGGGCCGTATGCTTAATTTTTTTTTATACTTTAAAAAATCAGTAATAAATTATCGAATAGAGATAATAAGCCACGGACAGATTATATGCGTCTTACTTTAAAATAATTAAAATTGCGATAAACAGGTGTTCAATACATATTTAGACGTCTTACTAAAAAAGCGTGTCTAACTAACTTTTTTGTTATCTAATGCATAAACAGTTACGTATTAACAAAAAAGTCTGTTTTATTTAAAATATTAGTATTTAAAGCAACAATTTTTATTACAATAATTTGTAAATTTTGAAACATAAACTTACAAGTAAACATCATTACACCCATTAGATTAACAATATTTAATTATTTAGACATAGTTTTGTTAAACACTGTTTAGGTAGACAGTGTTTTAAATAATTATAATATTTAAATAATTTTAATATTTAAATTAAATAATATTAGAAATAATTGGTTCTATAGGTATACGAGTAAAAGTTACTTTTTTAAGGTATAAACTGTAAAATTTTAACTCTATTTATTTATTTATTTATTTTTAATGAGGCACACATAACAAATTATAACCATATTACGTTTATATATATAGGTAATTATGGTTTTTATACTAGCTTACAATTCAAAAACATGTGTACACAGCATGATTAACATTTAGACATAACATTTCAATTTCGACACGTGGAAAACATAATAATTAGTAAATATTACATACATATACATAATTTACATTAAATGAAATTTAAACCATAAAACTATCACCACACAAGAAAAACAGCCCAGCCATCCTAAACATGAACTACATCACTAAATACTAGTAAAAGTACAAGTTCATGCCAAACGGCTCACGCACCCCCTGAATGGTGACAGCTTCATGTCGAATATATCATACCCAACTCTATGCTTAGAGTTGGGTATAAAATTAACTTTCCGTTTGTTAGCTATAAATAAACATATAAAAGACGATTAAGTGTGATTTGGACTATTAAAATGTTATATATCTGAAGAGGCTTCTTTTTTATTTAGAAAAAAACAAATAAAAAAATGTAACATCTATTATTAATATTAATTTTCGGTTAAAAAATACAATAAATACTTTATGTATTGTTTTTTTTTTATACGAAAATTAATAGGTATATAACATAATAATTGTTATTATTGGATTTCCTTATTTTGGACTATAACCGTGTTTTTGTTTTGATAATTTATGATTTCTCAAATACTTGTAGGTTAGAATTAATTTTTCCTGTAATATTCTGTAAATAATCATTTCAGATTTTTCACTCCATAAGTTTCAGAAACAAATGCATAGATGGTATTTTTTCATATATTTTAATAGACACGGTGTTATCTTGTGGAAATCCATATCACTGGTTATTTCATTAGAATTATTTTGTTTAATTCCGCTATCATTATTATGTGTGTGACTGCCAACACTCAAAGATTGACCACTACAATATATGAAGATGTTTCGTTTAAAGATGCAACACGTGTCGTAAAATGTACATGAACAAAATAGCAGTCGGAGATTGATAGCTAATATGGAAGGTTTTGGAACTTCTGGTAGTAATAGTGGTGATCAATCTTCGAGTGTTGGCAGTCGCTATACTAATGATAGCGGAATTAAACAAAATAATTCTAATCAAATATATTTTTTACAATAATTATAAACTGTGTTGCATAAAATGAATTAATAACACGTTTTAGAATTGCAAATGTCACCCTTTTACAGTTTGGATGAGTAGAAATTAGAATTAGGAAAAAAATGTATTTAGAAATTTCGTGCATTTTTTCGAAGTCCTTAGTATAAATATTTATATTCCTTATTGCACATAAAAATGCAGTAATAGTTACAAATATTAAAATTTTTTACTAGCGACACGACATCATAACCTTCAAGAAAAGAGCGTATTCCTTTTTAAAAGGCCAGCAGTACACCTGCAATGTCTCTGGTGTTGCGAATGATCGTGGGCGGCGATAGTATAGTGCTCGAATAGTGACTAATAATATTATTTTTGCATCCGTCTTAACAAGTTTCCAGACTTGACATAATTTGTATATTTTCTATATACATATCTGTCATGCTTGTCTCTCATTAGGGTAGGCAGAAAATATGGAACGCCAAAAGCTTCGATTCAAACAAATCTCTTTCGCTTCTTCCACATTCATCAATCTTTTCATACACACTCGCCGGTTACGGGTACTTTTAATTCGGCCCTTCTTCAGCACGTCGCCTATTTGGTCGATATACGACCATCTAGGGCGACCCCTACCGACATCTCCATTCATTCTTGCTCGATAAATCTCTTTCATAATTCTTCTTTCATCTATCCTCTCCAAATGGCCAAACGAATGCAATTTTTTTTTTCGATTTTTGTCACTAGATCGTCTGTCAGTCCACACTTCTCTCTAATCACACTGTTTCTCACTCTATCTTTTAATTTGTATTTTTTTAAAGTTAAAATGGTTGTAGAAAGCTATTTGATTAATATATACTGCCAACACTGATTTTTTTGTAGTCCCAATAAAGAGGAACAATTTCATCATAGAATATTTTGTTACATTTCAGTACTTTCGATGAAAGCTGTCAGTCGATTTCTTCCGACATCTTGAATATTTATCGTCGTATTTCAACAAATTAACGTAACAATATAAACAATTAAATAATTAAGAGTAATAATTAAAAATTAACATTATTATAATAATTAAAGTTGTCTGAAAGAGATCATTATTTAACTATAATTCTTGCCTTTTTATCATGCTTTTATGTAATTAAATTTATGTAATTAAGTATTATTATAATTTTGTTTATGTACATATTGTTAAACTATATAACCTGTAATATTCTTTAAATATCAAGAAAAGTAAGAAAAAGTTTTCATTCATTCATTTGTTCATTCATATCTAAACATGTATTTTTTTTTGATGGGTGAAAATGGTATGGTAACCCAGCCTGCGCTAACGGGATACGCTGGCGGAGCACCAGTGAAGGGTGATAGATGAGAATGAAAACAGGCCAGTTAGCCCATCATGATGAATTAATCAGGAATTAACCATGATAGTTTCCAGGGAGAATCGCGAGGAGGTCGACCTGGTTGGGTATATGGCTAGCAATGGAATTCTCAGTCTCCATTACTAACAATCCCTTTCCCCCCTCTAAACATGTATTAAACATCTATATATCGCAAGTATTACTTTTTTTTTATAGTTATTAGTTTTCACATTTCGCCCAACAGCTACGCACGTACTGATCTGCAGGCTGCAGGGTTACAAAATATATATATCACAATCAACTAGACATATAAAACTTCCTCTTGAATCACTATATCTATTGATGAAAATCCCATTATAATCTGTTGCGTGATTTAAAACATCAAAGCGTTCAGATGACGGGAAGAGATTTTGTTTTATACTATGTAGAGGTTCTAACATAACATATATGTTTGCGAGAGATAACCACACATTATAGTAGGCAGGCTTCATTCGTGTATCTAAAGTGCAATTAGTGTACGTTGTCCGCTTGAGGTCCATTTGCATGAGACAGATGCACAAACAATTGCGTGTGAATGGGCTCTAATGGGGACATTCATAATTACTAACGCCATCTAGTGTCGAGGATGGACAACTGGAAAAATGTATCTTTGTGATTACGAAGATTAACGTTTTGTATGTTTGTTTGTAATAAATAAATTCAAAAACTACTCAATCGATTGTAAAAATTAATTCTCCTATAAAAATCCGCATTATCACCGTGCAAAATAGGCTATATTATAATTATTTAAAAAAATTTAGAGATCTCTACGAAAGTTACTATAATGCTACCCAAAATATCAAAAAATTCTGCAACCAATACTAGAAACACCACAAATTTCTGTATTTGCTATATTTTACATAATACTGCTCAGAGTTTAGTGGTAACCATTCGGCATCCAAACTGTGGTTGCCG